TTGGCGTTTACCGTTGCGATATCGTTTCTGATATTGTGGCATTGTCCAGATCGAGCACACGCCGGTTTTTCTTTGAACCTCCAGCGAGATTATGTGTACATAAGTATGTGTGTATATATGTATATACAGCACAGATGTATATAAGAATGTTTTGTAGTCTCGTGTATTTGCCTGTCGTCAAATCTCATTAATTTTTATACATTCTCCATTTTTCGTACGTTCTTTGAAATTCCGCCTTGAATCATAATACAGTTCCGATCAGTTTATTTCACTTATGTACAGCGAATCGTTTATTCATCATCCGCGCTTATATTACCTAGTAAAATAATCAAAGAATATGCAGACGAGCTAATTTCTTATGCGCACATCTCATATTATTTTCTCGCTTTTTCTCTAGTCTCCCTTCATATTTTTTTTTCTTTCCAATATTCATCGTTTAAACAATTATTGACAAGTACTCGTGTTCACATTGTCTCTTCAAGTTAATCGTACGATCTGAACAAAGCAATATATACGAATCGAACTGAACAAAAGTGAACGTAGGAAAGTACTACAACGCCGAACAGAACAGAACAGAACGGAACGAAACGAAACGGACTGAAACAACTCGGTGATTCGAGCCAAGATGGTCCTGGAAAGTACGATGATATGGTAAGGTATTGACATTTGTTACATTTATTCCGAGTAATCTCATATTTGATTGTTTTTCGGTTTACATGATTCAATTTAGTTATACTTAAAAGTTCAACAATTTCTCGGGTTGACTCTGTACCGATAAATATCTGAATAATCGTGAACGTTGGTCGTGAGTGACAGTGCAAAGTTGAAACGGTTGCAGCGTAGGGTTCACAAGAAATTCTTTTTAAAAAGTTCAAATTCTTGAATATTAGCTGCAGTTTAAATATCAATTAAATGTACGACCTTTTTTACAATGAAAACTGAACATGATTACATACTAATGGAACGTATCTAGCATTACAACATTCCGACTGGAGGTTATACGATACTGAAAAAATAACATTGCAAATTACTACACCAATTTCATATATTCATCGATGGCTACTGAAACTCTTTTAGTGTCGACAACAGCGATTACATGAGAAATGGAGATTTTTTACCCACGCGCCTTCAAGCACAACAGGATGCCGTTAATCTGGTTTGTCACTCCAAGACTCGATCGAATCCGGAAAACAACGTCGGCTTAATCACATTGGCCAAGTAAGCGATAACATTTCATAATTGCATCTTCAAACAAGGACGTTCTTATTTTTCTTCTTATTCTTATTATTTTCACGTGTCCGCACAGCGTTGAAGTATTGGCTACATTAACCAGCGATGTTGGTAGAATTCTATCCAAGCTTCATCAAGTCCAACCAAATGGCAATCTAAGTTTGATCACTGGAATAAGAATTGCACACGTGAGTATATTTATACGTATATACATATATATACATATCTTTTTTTCCTTTGTACAGTGTAAAAACAACCATTATAATTATAAACAAAATATTGTACAACAGTTAGCGTTGAAACATCGTCAAGGTAAAAACCATAAAATGCGTATTGTGGCTTTCATCGGCAGTCCAATAGAGATCGATGAAAAGGAACTCGTAAAGTTGGCCAAACGTTTGAAGAAAGAAAAAGTGAACGTGGATGTTATTAGTTTTGGTGAGGAAAGTGTTAATAACGAAGTGTTGACAGCCTTCGTTAATGCTCTCAATGGAAAGGACGGTACAGGAAGTCATTTGGTCACTGTTCCACCTGGACCGCACTTATCTGATGCGTTAATTTCGTCGCCCATAATTCAAGGAGAGGATGGAATGGGTGGTACAGGTATGGGAGGCGCTGCTTACGAGTTCGGCGTTGATCCTAACGAAGATCCAGAGCTGGCATTGGTTTGTACATCATAATTCTTTACAATCTTCTGCAAACAATATAATAGTAATAACATTTCCGTGATTATTCATTCTTACATAGGCACTGCGTGTTTCTATGGAAGAACAACGACAACGTCAAGAAGAGGAAGCACGACGAGCTCAAGCAACCGAAGCAGCTGCGAACAAGCAACCGGAAACTATTAAAGAGGTACCCAACGAAGAAGCAATGTTGAAACGTGCACTTGCCATGTCCCTCGAGGGTGCTGAAGATTCATCTTCGACGACTGACAACAATACTACACCGTCTAGTGGAAATGTACCGGATTTTGCTCGTATGACGGAAGAGGAGCAGATTGCTTTTGCCATGCAAATGTCTATGCAAGATCAACGTAAGACAATATTTATGTACATCTACTTCCAAGTACGTACATAGGCTGAAATTAAAACTACCATGCGTACTATATTTTCTCCTCCTTTCTTTTGCAGAAGAACACGAGTCTCTGAAGGAGGAGGCAATGGAAGTCGAAGAAGACTACGCCGCTGTTATGTCTGATCCAGCATTTCTGCAATCAGTTTTGGAGAATTTACCAGGCGTTGATCCCCATTCCGAAGCCGTCCGTCAAGCTGTTGGATCTCTACAGCAAAACAAGGATAAAGATAAGGAGAAAGAAAAGGAGAAGGAAAAGGAAAAAGACAAAGATAAGGAAAAGAAATGAAAATTCAATGCTTCTTGGATATATATATATATATACATATATATATATATATATAACTGTATGTTAATCGCTGTTTTGTGAATACATCTATACCAAATATAAGTTTTCGATTTTTCAGGATTTTATTAACCGTTCTCTCTGTCCTCTACTCCCTTTCATTCTACACTCGTTAATCAACTAAGACTTTTTCTTAACAATTGCTTCGATTTATTTCATCCTGATGTCGTTTATTGTTTTTTCGCAAGAATCGCTCGTTATCCCCTCTTCTCGTGAACGTTGTATATCACAATGGCTGACTTGATTTCAAAAGACAAGTGTATACTCCATTTAAGTAAGTAAATGCCGTTGAAAGAGAAACATCAAATTTCAAAATGGCGCCACGTAGAAAAAGTATCGGAACGATTCGTGGTTCTTTTAGTAATAATTTAGATAAGGAAAACAATTATTTACGTTCGTTAAGTGATTATCAGGCACGGGTCAGAAGACGAGAGAGTATTCGAAATTGCAAAAATGTAGCGGTAAGTTTAAACTTGTTTGTTTACTATTTATTGCTTCCTTTATTACAAGACAGAAGTCTCGTTACTGCATTTAGTATTTTTTAAACTATAATAAATAGGAGAATAAACAAAATTTGAATTTTTTTCAATACATTAAATTCATAAGTTATACGTTTTTCTGGATAGGTTATATTTTGCTCCTGAGTAATTTTACAGATGCAACAATGATTTACAAATAAATATTACAAGATTTACGAGTATACTTGTTGCACAGTTTGTCGAAAAAAAATTAATTATTATACATTTTGTTCTTATGTCAAGTAAATATACAACTGCCGTAAAGTAGGTGAGAATTTACCCTTACCCAACAGATCAGTTTCTATTGAAAAATCTATTATAATTCAAGATTTTCCTGAATAATTTGGATTTTTTCAGGAACACGATTTAGAACGAAAGATTCAGTTGGAAGTGAAAATGAAGGAGGGTTCTTTAAGATTATTAGCTGCCGCGAAGCATCCTACTCAAAGTTTGGAAGCTGCACGCGCTCTATTGACTTCAAGCAAAAGAATGTCCCTTTACATGGTTGAACTACAACATCGTGGAACTGATACTTATTTAAATAAAAGGTATTACTCCATTGATCCTTTATAACTAAATATTAAGTTCGATTATTCACTATTATATGTTACAGCACATCCAAAAGTACAGGGAGATTATCCATTTCAGATCTTAGATTTCCTTTAATGTGGAGAGATTCCGATCATTTTAAAAATCGTGGGGATCATAGAAGATTTGCAGTGTTCTGTATAGCTCGTGTTGGTACAGAAATTCATGACACAACATTACTTTATCCTATCGATAGAGGACAGACAGACATTAGTTTTCCCGATGTTTTATTATTGTAAGATACTCTTGAATCTCACGTAGTTTCATTCGTTGTATAGATTGCAAGATATACACCTTTTTTAATAATTAATTAACAACGTCAACGAAAAAAATAACACTGTTCGCTTTTCAGTAACAGTGTATCTGCAGAATTTGAATTAACATTAGAGATCTACAGTCATGTTTTGCAAGAAGATCTCAGTATTGCAAGCACCCCAACACGAATAAAAAGAACTATTCACTCGTCAATTTCGAGAACTGTCGGTAAAAAATTGGCATTATCTTTACGGGATGAATATCACTCTAGTAAACAGTGAGTTTATACCTTTATCATACGTACAGCTAATTTAATGTATAGTGTTACGTTCATGATAATTATTCAGTTGTATTTTAACCTTTTATCTTTTAGAGGACCGCAGTTTCATTTAGTGGCCTATGCAAAAATGACTCTCAACGATACCGATAAGAACATACGCACGCACGACTTGGTGTTAAACGACTTTAGTACAGGTTTATCTGAATTTCTAGTTCCTCGCTAGTTTTTTCTCTTTGTTTTCTAGGATTCTACCTTGAAAATTGATTCATCGATATTTAGCGAGATTTTAGTAAACTTCAAAATTTTGTCTTTCAGAAACCAGAATTCATGCATTGCCACTTTTTGAACATTTCTGTTGTCGTTTAAATGTACAGCCAGATTGTATCGATAAAGAAGTGTGCGCAGGATTCGTAATACTAAACGATGAACAGTGCTGGGCGCGATTACGTGGCTTTGAAATAGAAGCCTGGAAAACGAAAAAACACGCGGAAGAATTACAAGAACCTGCGTTCACAGTTAGCGTGAACAAGGTCCGACAAAATATGTTCTTCAATTTCCGAAGCGTTTTGAAATCTCGTATCGTTATAATAATTGCAATTATAAAACGTTGAAATTCCACTTCAGGGGACTCTTATTCGACAATCAAAGTCGGTGAACAATCAGTTACGGATAATCAATTGCCTAGATGGCATCAGGAAACGTGATATTATTGATTTTCATAAAAAGGAAGATGTTCACACATGGTTTCAGCAGTTGGTGTATCGTATCGACGAACACTCAAGGTGGAAACATGCGGCAATAAACTTTCAGCGAATTCCATGTTCGGAGAACTCGTGTCCCAACACAAGCACGAAAAATTCATTTGCTGGGAGTAGACGACAAGGATCCTTGTACGACGAAATACCTTTAGTAGGTAGTGCCCTTTTTAAAACCTTCTTTTTTCTTTCGTCTTTCTCTTTTAATTTTTGTTCCTTTTGGCAACAGAAGGTAGATGCGTTCTGTTCCAAAATCCGCTCGTAAAGAAACAATTTTAAAGATGTCTGCATCGGATGGAATGTTAGAACTCCTCAAATATAAGGTTGTCAAAAATGCTACAGCAACTCTAAACTCTGAAATCTCGATTACTGCGTTGAGTTCGCAGGGGAAACTTTTTCATATAGTTCACTACAGATGAAATTTATTATTATAAACGCATTTGTGTGCCAATAAATCGCTACATCCATTAACAATGTATAAATCTTATGTTACAGTACGAATTATACAGTTTGTATTTACATGCAATTATACATTTATATATTTTAAACAGATTATTTATATATTCCTTTAAATGGAATAATCAGTAAATACATTTTAATGTAAAATTTTAAACTAATATACCCGAGAAAATTCATAAATATTTTAGTGATTAGACAAGACTAAATGTTGCACATATTAAGCATTACAGATACAAATTATGGATATAAATTTCTTGGTTGGAATTGTTCATTTTTCTTGCTTTCTGACTGCAATAATATATCCACCGACCATACAACAAATGGTGAATGCTTGCGCGCCTACTCGTGCGCGCATCATGTATTGAGACATTACTCTATCTCCTTTGGAAAAACTATAGAGGCCGTAAGAAAGAGCAGATATAGTTGCCAAAGTACCTGAAGCAATAAACGATCAGAACAATAAATTCTTTAGGCAGCCGTACATCCTGTATTGTTACATGTAACTTAAATAACACTGCGATATTCGTGAAAACTACTCTTACCTATTGGTACTAAAGGATTTTCCTTCGTTTTGCGTTTTGCCTTTTCTAAAAATGTCTCAGGAACGTTAGTATAGAGTCCATCACGCACTTGACGAATCCATTCTAAATTATCTTCCGGTGAAGTCTCCGACATTGTTGTTTACGAGGTACCGAATTTTTCAATTTGATGAGTGAATATTACATAAAGGTGTTCCTGTCAGTATTAAGTAGAAAGGTAACACATCGTGTGCGTATCCTACCGATTGACGAAGGTTATACATTTCATTTAAAAATAATGTATTCGTCTACATTTATCATAGAGAACATATAACAACCTACCGTTAATGGATTTCACCACTTGTCCCATATATACTCGTGCTTGCATACCTCTATCGAAGCCCACACGATCGTAATACCTACTTAAGGTGAGTTTGTAGGTGCGTAATCGTACAAACAAATGTAAATAAGAAAGTTCCTGCGAGCAATCTAGTGATACTCCCCTCACGAAAAGTTACTACCCTTTCCATATGCACATTTTAACCTGGTACTGAGCACCACATAGAACCGCTCGTATACACAGTCTCAGGCAGTTCCTAGTGTGTAGAGGTAGCGGGGAAACGCTGTTTTTCGAGTTACTAGCGCGAGGGGGAGTGAGTTGGACACCCCTGATCTATTATTACCTCGTTTGTGTATATACCTAAATCTCTTGAGGATAAACATTTTTTGGAAATATATCCATCGCTTACGGTTAATTGTCATTTGTATAGTGTAACGTACAAACCAAACATGAACGTGCGGGATATCGTCGAAGAATTAACGCAAACTTGCATAGAAGTTCGTCGCAGCTTGGAATCGTCCCTGGGCAGGGAGGAACAAGAGGCATTAATATTAAAACACATCAAAACATTTACAGGAAAAGGGTTTCGTATCACTGATTTCCAATCAGGTTATTACGTAGTTTTAATATTTGTTTCTATGTAAAAACTAGACAAATCAAAACTAACTATACCACCTTAAACGGACATACATACGTGAAAAAAAAGATCATATCGCAATTGAATACTAAACGTGGTTGTAAAGAATCACGAGTGAACGTGATCCAGAATTTTCAAATAAATTGATCGACACTTATCGTGGAAATAATAAGGATATTTAAATGGTTGAAAAAAATCAATGTTTACGTCAGTAAAGTAAAGTGTATATCGTACTGATTTATTTAACGCTCACACGAGAGCACAGTTAAATACCGGAGTGTCGAGATTTCGGTAGATTCGAATAGTTCGCTTCGGTTTTCGTTAGGTGAAAAATATTGTGATTCCATTAAAATGTCACGCAACGAAGAATGTAACAAATCCAACGAACAACTTCCAACGGATAATAGGGAGTGCAGTTCGAATTTATTAACAAATTCGGGGCTACTAACGTGTACGTTCGGTAAAAAGGGTACTTCTCTTACGGAAGAAGAAATATACGAATATCGCGAACTGACAGAACTCGAGGAGGTACTCGATAAAGAATTATCCGATTTGAGGAACGAAGAGAAAAATTTTCGTTCTACTAAAGAAATTATGGATTTATTACACAAATACAACGATATCAGAGATACAACTCAGACAGTCATGGGGGCAATAGCTGTGACAAATAGAACCGCGGTCAAGAATTTATATCAACGTTACGGTTTATCCATGGAAGAGGAGTAAATGTACATTGGCCTCTTTCCATCATCCTTCTTCTCGCTTTCCCTCGACCATTGTCGTGTCATCCTTTCGGTGTTTTCATTTTTTCTAATCGTTATCTTAATCTTTGACGCGGAACTAAAGGTGAAAAATGAGTGAAATCGGTTCTCAAAGTATTTCCTTCTTTTAAAATACGTCAGGACTAGAATGGTTCAACGTCGCAGAGGAATTATCAGTGTACGGACATCTGGCCGAGAAGTTAATTGTTCTGGATTTCTTTACTTATTGTTGTATTAATTGTATGCACGTGTTGCCAGATTTAGATCTTCTCGAAAAGCAATTTTCAGTCACGGATGGTCTTGTTGTTGTTAGTTTACATAAAGTATTATTCTTCGCACATTTCATCGACCAGGCATTATATAACACAATAAAAGCGTATGATTTCAGGTCGGCGTACATAGCGCAAAATTTACTAACGAGCGTGACTCTAAGAGACTCTTGGCAGCTGTACAAAGATACAATATAACGCATCCTGTCGTGAACGATACATCTCTGTCCACGTGGCATAATTTAGGAATTTCTTGCTGGCCGACACTAGTAATGATAGGTAAACATACGATTCTCCGTACAGTCGATGACAGACAAAATATTTGGAGAACAGCTTCTTATGTACCTTTTATGCTTCGTAGGTCCTGGAGGAGAACCATTGGCAGTTTTTGTAGGGGAAGGCCATAAAGAAGAATTACTCGTATACACGAGTGTCGCGTTAATGTACTTTAAATCGCTAAATCAAATATCTAACGGGGATCTTCCTCTACAGCCAGCAAAGCATTTATTACCATCCAAAGGAGATGGAACTCTTTTGTTTCCGAGTAAAGTAGAGGTTTCCCGTAACGAAAAAGGAGAATATTTGGTAATATCTGATACAGGCAATAATAGAATCTTAGTTGCAAATGTATCGGGGAACGTGGAATATGTTATCGGAGGCCCCGATCCTGGTTTTTGTGATGGAAACTTTGATACCGCTAAATTTAACGCTCCTCAGGGAGCATGCGTTTTAGACGATACAATTTACGTTGCTGACAACGAAAATCATGCAATCAGAGAGGTAAATATATTATCGACGTTTTCATATATTCGATCGCGACAAGTGCATATAGTGACAATTGTAGATAGATTTGGGGAAAAAAATTGTAAGTACGGTTGTCGGCACGGGTTCTCAAGGCCACGATTATGTCGGTGGCAAAATTGGTAGGGATCAAGTTTTGTCTTCTCCTTGGGACGTGACTCTTTATAGACACGAATGCGACTCTGAGAGAAGCATACCTGTGTTATTGATCGCGATTGCTGGTACACATCAGATCTGGGCGTACTTTTTCGAAGACAGTCTTTGGTGGAAGAATAGGTAAAGTTGCACTCTTGCGATAATTCACTGCGTGTCTTTCTTTGTTACGGAAGAAATATCCATTCTATCGATCTTTCTAGACAGCATAAAGCTGGCACGTGCGTTGCAATCGTTGGAAGCGGCAGGGAAGAGAATCGCAACAATGCGTATCCTCATGCAGCTGGTTTAGCACAACCGTCGGGATTGATTGTCGCGCAGGAGAGAAAGATGGCTTTTTTCGCCGATAGCGAAAGCAGTGCTATCAGATCCATAGATCTAATAAACGGACGAGTTTCTGCGGTATGCGGAGCAAACAAAAATCCGGCGGTCAGTTGAAATACGAAATACGAAATACTAGTGATACTCGAAGAAGGAAACGTTAGTCGACGATCCGTTCGCGCGTATGCTATCCGAATAACGATGCATTCTGTCGCAGGATCTATACGATTTCGGGGATTCCGATGGTATTCGATACGCCGTTAAGCTTCAACATCCTCTGGGAATAACGTGGCATTCGAAAGAGAATGCTATTTATATAACCGATACGTACAATCATAAAATTAAAAAGATCGACGCGAACACGGGTGATTGCGAGACAATGTACGGCGACCGGAAACCAAACAAGCAATTTTCGGTTCGTTGCGGAATTTCGAATGTCTTTGTCATTTGTCGAATGTTTGAATCATTTCGAAATGAAACTAAATATTTTTCACTTTGCACAGTTCGACGAACCCAGTGGTATCGCTGTTGGCTCCAATGGAGATGTCTTGTACGTGGCCGACACCAACAATCATGCCGTGAAAGTGATCGACATCAAGAGCAGTAATATCAGAGTGGTACACCAATTGTATTTAAATACGATGTCGACAACAATTCTCACGTACGAGTGTTTCTCTTTGCATTTTCTGATTGCTGTTTCAGCTGCCTGTAAATATTCCCGCAAAGGGGGAAGCAAGTCCGACGAACGCTTATACCTTTGATACAGCGATAAGTGAAATGGGCGGCGAATTAAATATCACGTTCGACGTGACGTTTCTCGGTAGTGATTTAAAATTGAATGCCGATGCACCTCAGAAGTGGGCGTTGAATCTATCTACGAGTAAATGGATCGCCGAAACAACGACCGGCGACCTTACCAGCCCGGTATCGATCAAAGTTTCCGAGGGAAGTGGAATGCACGAGGTACATCTGACTTTGGATATCGTAGCATGCAAAACCACCGAATGTGTGCCAAAGAAATTATCAATAGTGTATCAAGTATATCAGAAGGCAGAAGCTGTCCGTGTTGTAACGGAACGAAGACAAGTTGTCGTGAAATAATAAAGATTTCCAAATTTGTCGGTTTCACTTGTTCGTAAATAATTTCAAGTTACTTTACTGTTGTTCAGGTATGCAGGGTTTCCTCTCAAGATGGTGTTTACTCGAAAGAAAAGCTTTCGTCCCGCGAACACGATCTTGCGGGAACGCAGTTAACCTGCAAGGTGGACCGACAAAGTTTCATAAAGTAATAATTCGTTGTTTAGAATTTCCCACCTTTTCCACCAAGATTCGAAGCAAGATTTTGGAAGCGATTGCAATGGTGGAAGAGGAGAAACGTGTACGTGGTTTTCCCGAGGAATCCAACGTTCGTAAAGAGACCGGCGATGTCCCGTCGGTTCGGTCCAACCCTTTCGACAGTTGTTTACGATCCATCGAGCGATCCTCGCGGTCGGTATTTCCAGTATCTACAAGATGCCATTGTTTGTTTCGTGAAACGGTTTCTTTCGATATAATTGTCCTTTGTCTGTGTTTAGCATACCTTGTTTGGATCTCGGTAAGACGCGATGCAATGCGTACGAGGATTAAAGATTCCGATTCCCGCATCGTAATCAAAGGTTGGAATCGTAGTCCCCTTTTCCTTATCGATACGCAATGTTGCCCCGGCAGGACGTAATCCGTATTTCAGACAGGTGTAGTAGCTGCAAGTATTACGAGTCAAGGTACCGACCGATCACAAGGACACGTCGATTCGAGCCTCGTTCTCAGTTTTTATCTAAATGCGTATCTAATTTGCGAACCGTCTATCGGGGAATTTACAGTATTTCCAACCATTTTTCAGGAAGATCAAACCATCTGTGAAGTTGTATCGGTTCTCTTTGCATTCACCTCGAGACCAGACACCGTCCATCCTTTGCCCGCAAGGCCAATACGCGGTGCCATGACCGTGAAACGTGTCTTTGCGGAATTCTCCTTCCAACTTAACATCTGTTTTGAGTAAAGGGATATACGAAAGGTGAAAAACTTGAACATTTCTTTTAAACGAATTCGAATGCACGGAGAAAGAAGGAAAACTTGTCGATCCGATTCGGTCGCGCGCAGTTCAGACGTGTTCAGAGAGACGTGCACGGTAGATATTTTGAGAACGATGTTCCCGAATGAGTTCGGTAAATGAAAAACACGTACAAACTCTAGAGTACGAACCGGCCGAAATGGTCGCATAACGGTACGAGTCGACTTACGCGCGAGAAATGCTCGATGTCGTGCTCGAAACCAGTACACGCGGCAATACATTCGTAGACACAATTACCGGTGTTAGCAGCGTATACGTCTTCTGGTTGTCCTCGTTTTGTCCATCGGCGCTAACCAAACGAAATTCCACGGGAACCCCGGGAAACTGAGTTTTCGTATATTCAGCTTATTTTCTTTTACACCCTCGAAATTTCACATTCTTTCTCTCTCTGTCTATCTCTCCATCTCTCTCCCTCTTTCTCCCCACCACCTCTTGCTCTCGCTCTCTCTCTCCCTTACACACACACACACACACACTTTCCTCTCTGCTCACCACTCTCCTATCCTTTTATTCCATCTTCACGAGGAGAGACTCGCGAAAGGTCACGAAAATTGTACGCAAAGTCATTTTGCCTCGCCACCGTTTGCAAATTATACTAACCATGGGGGGAAACGTATCTGCCGATTCCATCCATGCCGAGTGCATTCCAGGTGCCCTCGTATCGGGTTCCATTATAGAAACGTACACCTTCGAAATTTTCTAGGCCGGCTTCCATATTATCGCTTGACGTATATTCTTTCATTTGTTATATTTTCGATATCGCATCTCAGAATCGTTTCAGACGTATCGATGCCTGTGTTATACTATTACTATTGTCAACTATTAAGTCGTTAAACATCTTTTTGAAAACGAACAGCAAAACTATCGGTATGGGCACCGGTTTCCACGAATTGCACGCGTTCCATGAAAAATTGCAACATCAATGTCTCTGTAATGTGTGTATCCCGCTTAGCAACTTTCGACAGCAACTGTATCCTAGGTGACCGATGATGTTGAAGGATAACGTTACTTAAAATGACCTCGTATAAACGATTGGTCTCGAAGAACTTCCTAACGGAGTCTTCTTATATTTTTCTCGCGCGCGATGTTCTCGCGACTCCTCGCTGGACACGCTGTCCAAATATTCCTCGAATCGGTCGAAAGACAAAGTGGAAAGGGAAATAGTATAACCGAATACCGTTAATCGTTCGTTGGTGTTCCAAATCGAGGATAACCGAAGCATTTACCTACGCACGGGTATGTATGTGTAAACGACCTCCCCCTTTTTTCTTTATCGAACCGATTCCGTATGTTCGACGCGTTTTTCTGCTGTTGCTGGTCGCCGACAAATCTTCCCTGCTAATAATTCCAATGAAACTAATCGCAAGTAGAATTTTTCGAATCGATCGAAATTTCTTACGAGGCGATACGAGGCGATACGACGCGACGCGATGGTCCGAACGTGCCGTCAAGAAGGCGATTTATTCGGTCGAGGTACCGTTAATCGCCGTTAATCGTCGAGGTCCTATGGCCAAGTGAAATGAAATGTTGAAAGGATTCGTTCTTTCCTTGTCAAGTTTCCATGGACGAATGTTACACTATTCGGTCGCCTCGAATTTGTCCAATTACTTGGAACGTTCGATGCTGTTTCCTTAATGTTTCCTTAATCTTTGAACGGTCCTCGTTGCCCGACTCGTCGCAATTAATATCGCAGCCGTCCAATCGGTAACCACGCGTATCGCGTAGAAGGAAAAACTCTGCTCGTTGCATTTTATGCTTCCGAAATACCGTATTCTCCGTTCCGTCTATCTGTTCTGTATATCGTTTCTTCTTGTACTCTTCATTCTCATCTCCTCTTATTCGCTTCGGTTAGTTCTACACTGGTCCTCCGACCTCATACTATCCCTTCTTCCTTTCTTCTCCCTCTCTTTTCTCTCGATATATATATTCTCGTGTATTCCGACATCCGTCTGTCCCCCCACGTAAACCGTACCGACCAACATCTCGACTCTCCAGGTTCACCCTTTCTCCATCTTTTCGTTCGAAAAGAACGAAGAGCACGTTCCCCCTCTTCCGACGCTTCTCTTTCTCAGTCCGATGCACTCGTCTGAACGAAGGATTTGAGCAGGCAGTTCGCGCTTATCCAAGGTAGAAGACAGTAGAAGCGACAGGTGGTACGGAAAGACGAACGAACTGAAGGGCGGCGCGCGCTCTCACGATATACGAAAAGAAGAAGGAGATACACGTACATGTAAGAGAATAAAGGGAGACAGGACCAGCAAGGGAAAAGGAACAAACTGATCTCGTATAAGATATTGTGAAAATAGTCGTTCATTCAGTTCTATATCGGGGTGAACCGAATCGACAACGTCAATACCGTTTGGTTCGTAAAAGATCATCTCACCGGCACACCGTTTCTTCTAACTATTCTTAACATTATTGCTTTCCGTTCGTGCAGATACCTCTTATCCGCGATAACACGGCGATCGGACAAATTCGGAGGGAAAAGGAACAAAAAGAGTGGAAACGCGCGTAGAACGCCTTTCTTTCCGTCATTGCAAACAAATTCGACTCTTCCAGTTGTATTTTCGGGCATGCCTAATACCTCTTGGCGCTTATTTGATCCGTAACACCCTCGTTGCTGTATATTTACGCATTCGCGATTTTATTTTATCCGTTACTTTATTCGCTTCACGAAAAATCCTATCCAGAGAAATTTCTTCAGACTCGGCAGTCGAACGTGCTTAGTGCATTTGCTGAGCGATTTACAGCGCGACGGAAAACCGGTCGTCACGTTAAGGCGATCGTCCGTAAGAGGGTAGCAAGGAATCGAAGGGTCGTTAACCGAAAAGAAGACGAACTAGACTCTTGTTCCTCTCTTTCTTTTTGTCTTTCTTTCTTTCTTTCTTTCCTTCCTTCCTTCCTTCCTTCCGTCCTTCCTTCCTTCCGTCCTTCCTTCCTTCCTTCCTTCCTTCCTTCCTTCCTTCCTTCCTTCCTTCCTTCCTTCCTTCTTCCTTCCTTTCTTCCTTCCTCGCGTATTCTTTATTACTCTTTGTTTGTATTACCTTGCTATTCTTCGATACGTTAGAATGTTAGTTACACGCAATCATACGTTTTCCAATATTCTGGCTTTTAGATTATCGACAGGAAGAGAAGTAAGTATGTCTTTAGAATGGTATCACGCGACATTGGCGGCACTCATGATATGGATCTGCTGCCTAGATTCAAGCGTAGCTGGACCGTTCCCAGAGCATGTTATGGTTTTACCGTCTAGAAAATTTCTTAAATCTAGGTTAGTATTTTGCTTCTAACACAGTGTATCTACAGCTATGCACGGCAGTCTTTTTGAAAAATAGGCGAAAGAGACAATTGGTTAGAACTCATGACGAATTCGAATTTGATTAATCCCATATTTATAAATACTTATTCTTCGATCCCTTACACGAGTCTTTACGACTTCTTCCATTTCATTGCTGCCTCTTATGGGATCTAACAATTTTCAGCGCGGTTACAACGACGTCAATCATTGCAAAACGGAATGATGTGGAGACCAACGACGATCGTTCGACTGGAAGCAACCATAAATTACCGGTTTCGAACAGTGTTAACATGTATCGTTTGCCGCCTTCTCCAGCCAATTTGTTAAAGCCCGATGGATTTCAATTTTACACTTACAACGAACGGGGTGACATGATCACAAAGCAAATGACCCCGGAGGAAATCCAGGCTTTGATCGCCAGCGGCGGGCCGGATCACTCGAGTACCGGGGTTCAGGAACCTCAGAAAGTTGAAGATATTCTTACAGGTGGAAAAAAGGTCTGTACACTGGATACAACCAAGCATCGGTTGTTTACGTTAAAATTGTACCGCAATAAAATATTAGTACTCGGTTCATAGGTAATGGATGTTGTGGAAAAAGTGCAAAACGTACTCAAGAGCGCTATGAACAAACCGTCGACGTTAACGGGAACGATTCCGAATTCGGTGCCAGAAAAAGCAAACGTTGAATGGACTAACATTTTACCTGTTATTTTAGCCGGCGAAAAACACGGAGACACACCCGACGACACTCGCTACGTCGAACGATTTACAGTAACGTCGACCGATCGTACGTCGACCGCCCGAATCGATTTCTCTTCTGACACATTCGAATTAAACGCAACGGCGCTCCCGTCGACGGAACTACTCGACAACGGCACTACAACGTTCGCTGACCGAAACGAGGAACCGACTCATTCTAGAAAGAACGGCACGCAACTGCTTTCAACGATTGCTTCCGACACTGGAACGAGCAGCCCTTACACGGAGAAAATCATGATTCCTGTAGCCGTTATAACGGCCGAGCAGAAACCACAGAATGTGGACAGTACGACTCAGAGTCTGGTTTTTCAAAAGATCACTGAAATTATGCCATCGGGAGACGCCACCAAAGAAAACTACAACGGTAATAATAATCGTTTGACTTTGAACGTGTACGTCGATCGCGACGGGGCTACCGAAACGTTCAACGCCACGACTACTGTCGCTTATTCGCCAACGGTACAGATAGAAGCGACCACTGTGTCTACAAACGGTCCGCAGCTGGAAGAAAAGTTGAATACTGCGACAGGTCAGGTCTCTCCAATAACGTCGAGTAAAATTGATACGTTGGGCGGCAACGAATCCTACACAACAACGCCAGTCGCTTTGGATCCCTCCGAGGCCTCTGAAACCTCTGCTACAAGTTCGGATCCAGCCGTCATTGGTTCTTTCCTCGAACGGGAACAATCGTCGGGAATCGAATCCGATTACGCTGCAACAAAATCGAATCATTCGGACACTGTATCGTCTCCCACGTCTTTACCCATCGAGCTAATCAACTCGTTGTCCAGTATGATGGATCAAGTTTCCGAAGTTTCCGCGTCTTCCATTCTATCTTTGTCTTCCGATTTCGAGAGGGAATCTCCTGACGCTGTAGTCGAGGAAAAGAAAGAGAATTCTGCGTCACGAACAAGTGCAGCAACGACAACATCGACAACAACGACGACTAAATTTTCGACGATCGTAGGTGACGCGTTCGACGAACAGATAGAAGAATCTGTCAGCGCAACAACTGCCAAGTTACAAGTCGACCAAGATCGAGTTACTTGGACCATCCCGCCAGTTACTTGGTCGAAACTCTTCGCTTCGACGCATCGAACGCCAACCGAAGCAACATTGAATTTCACCCGCACTTCGACAACGTTTCCCGATGAGAACGTTACGACGAATTTTACTTCGTTTTCGAGAACCGGTACAACTTTGACACCGACTGCCACCGACTCGATACTCGCGTTCGCTTCCTCGGGCGAAACACATGCCGCTGTGCCTGTCTCCGTTACTCTTCGACCGAACAACGGAACAACAACGGCGAAACCATTGGTGGACTCGGCCAACGCGAATTCGACGAGTTTCGGTACGTTGTTGAAAGAATCGGACCCCGAGCAACACTCGAATATCGAGTCGTTGGCGCTTATCGAAACTATACTTGGAACGGTTTCAACCGAAGCGAACATTCCTTCTACACGGCCACTGACTCTACCGAATATTCCGGCAGAGAATCTTCCACCGAAAACATTGGCCAGTGGACTGATTGCAGGTTTCGGATCGATCGATTCGAATGGAACGGAGAATAGGGAAACCACTTCTGACGCGGCCAACCTCGCACCGACAAACGTTACACCGACCATCGATTCGAAAGTTGCATCGAAACTAGAGACGCAAACTGTGCCGTCCGTCACAGAAACGTCCAGCAATACTACCGCCTGGTATACCGAGGAGGGCGATGCAACAAATGAAAATGAAACTCGGAGTAGCTTGGCTGCAAATCAGAATTCTTACGGTGAACTTACTCGACCGCCGAATCTAGTCGGAGAAAGAGAGACGACGGACCGAACGATATCCTCCACTCGCGCGAACGTCGAATACATCAAAGCGGAAAAGGAAAACGAGACACCATCGACCGATTCGCCTGTATTCGATGTCGTTACGACGGCGAATTTAGCCGCGAACAACAGCGAGATATCTTTCTCGGAAGATGTTAATTCTACAACAATGGTAATCGACAAGTTGTCCAGTGCTTCATCGGACGGAAACAATCCGATGCAGGAGATGGCATGGCACGCCGACGGGACCACGGAAACATCGATAACATCGAAATTCGAAGGAACCCCTGTGGAAGCATTTAAAAAAGACGACGTCACAAACTGGGACGGTCTCGGTCGAAACTCATCGACGGAATATACTACACTCGCGAGTACACATGGGATGGCGATAATGTCGACATTATCGAGTATGGGCACAGACGTCGGTGCTTCCTCTCTCGCGTCTACTGCTGTTGTTGGGACTTTAACGGCTACTACTAGCACTCCTATCACTACTGCTGCTGCTGCTGCTGCTGTTACTGCTACTGCTAGTACAATCAACGGATCAATGTCATCGACGAACAAAGAGACAAAAGATTTTTCGAATACGGTACTCGATACGAATTCGATCGCGACAGAATCGAATAAAGTCGTGGCAAGCGTAAATGTGACTGAAACGACGATAACAACAAACGAATATGATCAAAGTGGTGCAATAATCGGAATTGAATCAAAATCAAAATCAAATGTTACGCACAATTTGTCAATGAATCGGACAAACGAACTTACATTGAAAAATTCAAATTCGGATAAGAGAAATACAACCGACGATGGAAATTCCGATGGTAAATGGCAGCGGATAACTTTGCACGAAAGCGTTACAACGTCGTCGACGAAAGCTGTCCCAGTGACTAAGGAGACGTCGAAGGTATCCGAGTCCGCTGCGACTTCAACGACCACGTCGATTCCAACGACGACATCATCGATACGCCACGGAAATTCAACGAAAGAGGAAACACCGTATCAAACGACTCCAGTGAACGAATCTGGAACCATGGTCACGTTGAATCCTTCGAAGAATACGGGCGGATTGGATAGCAGTACGAAAAACGCGAGCAACGATATCGTCAACTTTTCGAGACTTTGCAACCAACTTGCATTTCAATTTTGGACCGCAGCGAACAAAGGATTAAGTACCGGTCGCTCGCTCGCTCTGTCTCCGTTCGGAATGATCAGCTTACTGGCAATGCTGTTCCTTGGCGCGCGAGGATCGACGTCCGATCAGATGAACGGAGTCCTCGGTCTCGATAATGTGGCTACCTTTAATCCACATTTGATCTTTCAAAATGTCACGGACGCGGTGAGTTTGGCAAGACACCAGGGTATCGCAAACGCGGCGTTCGTTCGCGAATTATTCGCGGATAAAGTGAAGGTTCGGAAATTGTTGCCGTTCTACAAGGAACAAGCGCAACAATTTTACGAAGGATTAGTAGCCGAAGTGAATTTCGCCACCATCAGCGACCTTGCGCGTCGTCGAACGAACCTGTTGATCAGAAAACAAACCGGCGGCAGAATAAGAGATTTCGTAAAGAGTAACGCAGTTCCGTTAAGATCTCCGCTCGCGGCGATCTCCGCGAATGTCTTTCAGACGGACTGCAACACCAGTTCGGCCAGTGCAACAGGACGGGACGGGGAACTGTATTTCGCTACATCGTCGGCCCACAGGTTGAGAAAGTTAATTCCGGTACCCGCGACAGTTTGGCGATCCAACGTACTCGCCGGTTACGAGCCGAGTTTGGATGCCACCGCGATCGGTCTCGGCGGAGTCGGCAAATTGGTCTCAACGATATTTTTGTTGCCCGGTCAACAAGGTCACACTGCGCCGGGCGACACGCTGGACCGCCTGGAACAGAGACTCGTCAAGGGGGCTTTTCGAGACGACAGTTGGCAGAAACTTCTCAAAGTTCTCATACCCAGACGGGGTCTGGAGTTGCAAGTACCCAAGTTCAGTCATCGATCGGTCGTAAACGCTACCGCTGCTTTGAAAAGAATGGGTTTGGACCAGTTGTTTACCAACGATGCCGACTTTAAAGGGATCAATGGAATCGGCAATCGTTTATTTTTATCCGACGTCTTACAGGTAACTTTGGCATTTTCTCCTCTTTCTTTTTTATTGAAATTACAAAATGATATTTACTGGTAAAAAGGTACCGTCTTTTCAGATGAACTTGTTCAGCACGTGTGGCGATGAAAACACTGCCAATGGACGACATCACGTGGAAATTTATCCGGCGAGTCCTTTATCTCGGAATTCCCCGATTTACGATGACGCGCATCGGACGACGGATGTCCAGGAACACCTAGTCTCCGATTTTCGAGCGAGAAATTCGGAAACGCAACCGGAAGATAGACCTAGATTGAAATTGGATCAACCGTTTCTTTATTTCGTTCGACACAATCCAACCGGCCTTATTCTTCACATGGGTCGTTTCAATCCTAGGTTAATTTAAGTACTCGGCAATATAAGATTATACATTACTTATACATTCTCACTGTACACGTCGAGTTTCGAATCGCAGCAGAATAGAACGATGCGTGTACGTGATTACGTATAAAGACAGTGACGCTTCTGCGATATTATTTGAAGTTTAATATCAGCAGAATCGAGAAAAAGGATGGGAAGTTGTTGTAACGAAAGCGAATTCGTTTTCACTGAAAATTACGCGTTTCTCGAGAGTTTCGAACGATTCTCGCGTGACATTCGAATAGAAAATATCTTTCATATCTGCGCCGATCTAATCAGAAGTATAGTGTAAATAAAATGTTTGTTCAGTTCTTTGTTGGAAATGGAGGCGAATTTATCTATGGATAAAGACTGTAAATTAACAATGTTTTCTATTACTTTTGAATAATTAAGGACGTTAATATCGACAGATGGGTTTTTATCGAAACTAATAATCAACACTTATATGGGATAGCGCTCTGGATTTTCCAGATATGAAAATTAGTTGTTCGACAAATGATAATGTTCATTTTTGGTATTCCGATCGCATTGTTCTTTAAAATTGCGAATTCTCTTTTATATTCCGATGGATGTTTGTAAGAAATTACGTGCATATACCAATATGTAATATTGAGAGAAGAAACTACAATAAAAACAGAAGAATGCGTTTCTCATTTATTTCTACTTATTTGCACAAACCCGTAATATAATCGTTATATCTGTAAAGAGCAGTTGACAGATGATTAATGTAACATAAAATACCTTGAGCCGTCGAACGTCGAAATTGCCACACGGAAATCTATAAAACAGCTAATGCAAAGGCAACGGCATATTATGCTTTTCCCTATACCTGTAATGTGTAAGACAAGGATAGACAATTACTCTCACGAGACACCTCCTTGAAAAAGCATCTCATCGGTTCCTGGTACGTACGCGCGAA